GACCAAAGGAAAATTGCGGTACGGAGGTTTGACTTAAACAGAAGCTCAGTATGTTGCATGGAGCAACAGGTTTCATACGTGCTCACTCACAGCAATATATCAGCGAGGTAAAGTCACTAATAGTAAAAGAATACGGTGTCACATGTAACAATCATGAGCTGGCTTACGCTCGCTTCAAACAGTATAAGTTCACGTACAACACCACATGCCGTGCCAAATGTAACTTAATAAAACTTCGCGAATTCGGGTACAATGGGCTGGCCAGATGAACTGACTTCGCGGGCCCTAATTTGGTGACCCCCAGTCTAGACGGACAAGCCGTGATTCTGAGTTTGGTTTGTTCGACTGGCACATGATCATCAAAATCGATCTCTGATTCGTACTACGTGTCGTTAACACGCGTACCTCTGCGGTAAACGTAATCATCTGACGTGTTTGCCCGGCATTCTGTTCCGTTAGCTTTGCTTGATTAAGTTAGTAATGTTTTTTATCCTACTGCGGCCCATTTGACAGCTAGTTCAATGCGTCGGTTTACTGTAGTGCTTGTAGAATACCATGCTTACAAGAGGTCGTTAGTTTGTGTCGAATTTCCACGGGCCACACTATATTTTCAGCTTCAAGTGAAAACGGAAAATGCTGTTTCGGATCTTCAGGAAAAGGTAAACCTAGTGTGTTCCTCATGCAAGCTCCGATATTGACCACTGTGCATTCCTAGGGACTTCAACCTAAGCTCGTAGGGCAGATGGTACAAACGTAACATCATGGTTACATAGCTTGTTGTTTGTAGCTACATCTAAGCGCCCAGAGTTGACACTAGAGTTCCATTTTGATGGTCATGTGCCCAGAGAACAATCCAAACTCGGACTCACGGCTCGTCCGTTTAGACAATGGATCACTCACACTCACGGACTACTCTCCTCGCGCCGCTTCACTCGGCTACGTAATAGCGTGTTGATGATATCACTTCGAGTAGTGATAAAACGTCTGCAGCAAAACTGACGAACTCAACGTAGACTCCGACCACCACCAGACTTGTATAACATTTGTCCACTAGCATCGTACTCGAAACAGATTTCAGTGTGCTGATCCAGTGCGACCTCTGATGCTAGGTGCAACCTGAGATAACATCAGCGAGGCATCCATGACATGGGGATCTTGCGGGGAGCTTTCGGTCGCTTTGACTTTTCAAGTTTTTCCTAACCACTCTCTCTCTCTCTCTCTCTCTCTCTCTCTCTCTCTATATATATATATATATATATATATATATATATATTATACACAATCTGTGGTACAGATATTGTGCCATCGGAATCATGGCTGAATAGGAAAACAATATGAATAATAAGAAAAGAGCAACAAGAAATGCTTTTTTTTGTCAAGTTTACCACTCACAGTTTTTGAAATTTTTTTCAGTTTGTTCTTTTTTAGGGGGAGGAGGAAGGGACACAACAACACACTGATGCACACGTCCGCCATTGACATCGATCTTGAGCCATAACTTCCAAGATTTTCAACCAGCAAGTATCCTCATCTCTCGGACCCCAACCAGGTAGTCGACAACAACCGGCCGAGGCCAATTGTTTCGTCAACTTTTTCATGCGGCTTCTCCATGTTGTAGGCTGTCCACCAGACCGTCTCTTCCAGCCCTGTCCAGCAAGTGCAAACAACGCACGACGGGGGTAACGCTGGACAGGCATGCGCAGTACGTGTCCCAACCACCGCAGTTGATGCAGTGAGATGAGCTCCTCGAGCGAGTGGCTTCCACGTCCCAAGACACGCTGTCTAACTTCCACATTGCTTACGTGGTGCTGCCACCACACACGGGCAATGGACCGCAGACAGCGGTGCTCGAAGACGGATAGCCTGCGCAAGTCATCTTTACGAATGGGCCAGGTATCGCATCCGTACAACAGTACAGCACGAACAGTTGCACAATAGACCCGCCCTTTGATGGAGAGACGAATGTCGTGGCGACGCCACAAATACCTCAGCCTAGAAAAAGCGAGGCGTGCTTTCGAGATGCGCATCAAAATCTCGTCTCCAACAGCCCCGCCAGCAGTGATGCAACTTCCCAAGTAGACAAAGCTCTCCACAACTTCCAGTGTCTCACCAGCAAGCGTGAGTGCAGGCAGAGGCACCTGCCAGTCTTGAAGGAGAGCCTTGCATTTGGATGGCGAAAAGCACATACCGTACTTTGATGCTTCAATCGTCAAGCGGTTTAATGCAAGTTGGACGACCTGTGGATCGTCACCCAGCAAGACGATATCATCAGCATAATCCAAATCAACAACTCGACTACCTGGGAGGAGCTCAACGCCATATATATATATATATATATATATATATATATATATATATATATATATATATATATATATATATATATATATATATATATATAAACCAACGTACACTTAAACTAGGTCTTTTGAGGCTGGCTAAATTTCATTCCAGTTTATTTGGTTTGCTCTGCCTACCTGAATAATCTTCTATTAACTGGCCACGTTGCTTTCGCTAAATGCGCTTATCTTCGATAACTTAGTTGCGTTTGTAGCATTTTAAGTAACTTGTGGACATTTCTTACTTATCGCGGATTCGTTGCCAACCAATATACTTCATATGCTAATTTAGCGAAGACTTATGCCACCGTAGGTGTAGCATTATTAGGTTTGTTTTGTTTCATCTTGTCGGTTCAAGTGATTGGCTGTTGCTTGATATCCCCGGTGTGGCTGCGCTTGATGTGCATGTTGACAAGGTGCCTACCTGTCTATTACCCACTACCTCGTTCATACTGGCTCCAGGAGACAGTTGGTCGTTGTTGGAGGGGACGGGATGCACCGTCCTCGTGACGATGCTGGGCTCAAAGAGTGGTTCCATCCTGTGCGGAACGGGCTACGGTCCAGCCACCGCCATGTGTACGTCTGATGTGCATGGTTTTCCAATTAGGTGGGAATGTTTCCGTTCTGTTTGTTGAAGGAGTGTGGGCCGGCTCTGTTGATGAAACATGGCTCTCATCCACATGCCTTTCGGTTTTATTACATCGGGTTTACACTGGATATGGGGGGGGGGTGGAACTGTGGGTGGTGCAGCGAAAGCCACCCATGGCCCTCTGTAGGCACAGGCGTCCTGCGGCTGTCCCCATGGAGGCCATAGTGACAGGCAAATCCGGATACGGATGCCGCCATACCATATATATATATATATATATATATATATATATATATATATATATATATATATATATATATATATATATACGCAATAAACATTTCGACTGCGCGTGGCTTAATAAGTTTATCGGCTATTGTGTGACGTGCTCCTGTCAGCGCAATACGACAATTAACTATACAAGATGCTTCACTAGCCTTTGCATTTACAATCTGAGACACGCGAAGCGTGTACTTTCAGGTGTCCAATAGTTCTCGCCGGCGCTAAAATGCCCCTTTTTCTGTCTTTGCAGTCCGCATGTATTTTTATAAGCACCATGGAACTGTTTGGAAGAAGTTTGTTACACAAGACACTGTGGGCAATTGCTGGACTCCACAAATCAAAAAAGAAGATGAATGTCGCTGTGTTTACGCCTCTTACTTAATTATAAGAAGACTCCGGTTGAACAGGCTTATGTTGCATCAGACCAGGTAGTACAGGTACATCGAAAGTCTCAGTTTCTGCTTTCTAAGTGGGGGCAATAAAATGGACTACTACTACATCGGAATACGACGACGAATATTTCTTTGACACATCAATGTTCTTGTCTTCAGCCAACTGTCCACCTTTATGATAAATGTACAAATGCTGAAAGGGAAATACGTACTTGAACACAAGAGTCTAGAACACATCTCGAATTTGATTATTGTGGTAAGCTGGATTTTGAATGAAGTTTAAAGTAAAGTAAACAAAATATCCACCTTTTGTGAAATCGCAGAGATAGATTCCCTCCAATTCACGAAATCAAATGAGCACACGCGCAAAACAATTAAATATTCACGCTTAACTTCTGGGCTTCCGTGGGTAGAATCGCTTCAATGGGCATCTATTTCCGGTTTGTCGATTTCGGAGGATAGCAACTTTCGAAATGATCACAAAAGGGGCCATTTCTTATGACTTACTTTTCGCCTCCTCCTAGGTGACAAAGTCTGTGGTATGTTAGCTGGCACGGACGTGGAATGATTCATCCAAGCCTGTCAATCGCATCACGTTGAGAGCATCACACTAGTTTGCTGATATTTGACAGCTTTGTTCACACACACGACAAGTCTCTGCCAAAACCAGGTTCCTGCTTTGAAGGAGTGTGTCTTACAGAGACATGCATAAGGCTAATGTAGATCGCCAGATATGATGTAACAAACAGGTACAGCAAGTTTGTATTTAGCCTATAAAATAAAGTGAGCACGTCCAGAAAACTGTTTAGTGGGATCATATCGGGAAACCCTACGGATCCCTTGGAGGTCCGCGGACCACACTTTGAGAAGCACAGTTGTAGAACCTTACCCGGCCTCGGCGATCATGGTAGACTTCAAGATGAAAAGGAGTTTCCCAGTCACTTGTTGCTAAGGAAAGGAATACCACTATCAACAGAGTCGAAGGAGAGTTCCACGTCGAGGAAAACCACCATGGTCATCTGCATGAATGTCTGCGCTCTAACACTTGACAAACAGTAAACATGTGGATGGAAGTCTGCTGGGCTTTCAGTGATTCGGTTAGTAAGGGGACCAGTAGGTCAAAGAAAAATGACACTGGTGAGTAGTTTGCAGGTAATGAAAATAAGACTAATAAACCAGTAATGTTCATACAAAACCCGCTGAACATTGTTGGAGATGGGTCCACATTCGACAGATGTCAGCCTGAAGGCACGTCCTCAGTGTTCCAAATAGTTCAGTCAAGTAAAAAGTTACTTCTATCGTCCATAAGAATACATGAAAAATATAAAAGAATAACAACAGGAATGCATTGTTCTCCTATGCAGGGAATCGTAAAAATGACGGTCAGCGGAAACTTACGATGAAATGGAATATCTGGGAGATTATATGAATTACTAACACCGGTTAGACACGAAGCTTGCGATGCCACAGATGCGAGAGTATCTTCTGCGACGATCGGAACGCTATCGATGGGCTCTTCGATCGTAGATTCTTGGACCGGGTCATGCCGGCGAAAGTTTGACCGGAACCGCAGTACGTGCGACGGCGGTTTTGTGGTGGCTGCTTCTTGACCCAACTCAAGTGAGGGCAGATTGATCGGGCGTTTGGAAGTCCGATTATCAGTTATCTCTTCCGTACCATCTGAGCTATTAGGAAACGAAAGGCCTTTGGCTCCTGAACTGCTCAGATTTGTTGTCCACTGTAGCCCAGTCTATTGAAAGGGGTTCACACAAAAGATGACTAGATCATATTCCATCTGACGACGACGACAACTGATTGCTTAAGGTGGACATGGGTCAATCGTACAAAAACAAATCGCACATGCTGACCAGTTAAAAATAAAGTGTACATATGATGATGATAGCGAATGAATTATAGAGAAGACACTGATCGAATGTGAACCTGATCATGCTGGGATTCTGCGGCGCACATCAGGTTGAATAAGTAGTACCTGGTAGACTATACTTACATAGCCGTCGACATAAAGTGCAAAAGGAGCATAAATTAAAAAAAACGCAAACCGAAGGTCCTGTTTACATCAAAAAAGAGTAAATTCGGGCAAATGCAAACTGAGTGCCGATAATGGGCGATTAATTGACAAATTTCAATTAACGGAAAAGAAGATTATTCGTGTGAGAACGAAACAACACGAAAGAACTGAGAAGAAACCAATCACAGGGAAGGTACGATGAAGCGGATTGTCGTAACGGACCGTTCAGTAACAAAAGCAAGGATTGGAGTTCCACTGAATAGTCAACGGAGCAATGTCATACGGCGGTGGTAACCACCGATGTGAATAATGCTGTGACAGACTAACAACAAGAACACATTCAATAAGGTTCCAGCCAGTTTCCCATTTGCTTTGCTACATCCCTGCATGGTCAACTGGGTTGTGTCTCAGTGAAAAGCATTGTCAGCACGCAACACAGACTGATGTGCACTGTGGACAGGAGTAGGACGGATGTCCAATCCCTTAGAGTCTGCTCCTGACAGCCTAATTCAGTTCCAGTAAACTCTTGACCAAACACAGCCAAGTGATCGGGAATTGGTCGCCTGCTGATTGCATCAAAAACGTAGAGGATTTCGTATACATGTACTCCCAAGGATTATGGGCTCTGGTACGATACCACGCATGTAAGTCCCTCTAGTAGGCTAAGGAAGGGCGTGTCCGAGAAATATGGGGACATTATCCGAGCGCTTTACGCGCGTAGCTCGGAAAGAGTGAAGGCTTACAGCAAGCTGTAGCTGCCCTTCAATATCTCCAGCGATGTGAGACAAGGATGTCCGCTGTCATCTATCCTCTTCAATTTCTCTATTGACAAAGTCATGGAGATCGCTTTAACAATACATGACTTAAGTGAGGAGCTGCTTCTAGGTGGACAACTTCTTGAACTGAAATACGCTAACGACATTGTCCTCATCCGTGACAGCGCATAAACGTGCCAAATATATATCAATTGATTGCATCCTTAACGCAATGGTTTACATCCGTAGTGCAGCAGTATGCATCCTTAGCGTAAAAAGCTATAGTCCGATAGTCACGAAAATTGCATCCACGACGCTCTCAGTGGGTCAGTTATCCGATCGCCTAAAACGGATATCTCGTTTGTTCACCCCAAACCTCTTTGTGAATTAGTTTTGACTTCATTCACAACGTGCTCGGTCAAACTAGGGGGCGCGATCCACCGCTCGGGACACGTTCACTGCTACGTCTACATTCGTCCGGAACTGAGCTGACTTCACTTAACCTCCACATCCTAGGGGCATTAGGGTTTGGAGCCGGTTGCTGAGGAAGCCCCTGCTTCCACCTCCTTATTGTCCGATGCTGGTGCGTACCTAGCCGAGCGGATGGCCTGAGTGAGCAAACGAGATGTCCATTTGAGGCGAACGGACAGCTTACTCCCTGAGGGCGTCATGGGTGCAATTTTCGTGACTATCGGATTACAGCTGTTGAGCTAGGGATGCAGGCTACTGCACTACGTATGAAAGCCATTGCGTTAAGGATGCAATCAGCGGAGAAATGATATAGACAGATTAGCATTGGCTGTCAGTCGTTTCGGGCTTTGCTTTACACCCTCCAAGACTGGCAGAGACCGCCATCTGCACTCAACCTTGGTGGTGATCAGCTATAAGTCGTTCAAAAATTCAAGCACCTAGGCAGTTGTACCAGCGCCTGTGGAATCGAAGACGAGGTCGCGAACCGTAGAGTAAAACCTTGAGGTGCTTTTTCTAACGTTCGCCACCCATTCGGGTCGGCGTTATATCACTCTCGCCCTGAAGAGCAGTGTGGACTGCGGCCGTACGTTACACCATACTGTACGGTTGTGAAACCTGGCTCATCAAGTCGACAGACATAACGGGGCTTGGTACGGTCGACCACCGGCCCCTTCGCGGTGCGACTCATACCTGGCGGGAACATCGTGTGAGCAATGAACGTGTCCGGCTCCTTGTTTATGGTACAGAAAGAGGAAGTCAACCGCCCAGCACCCCTATTTCACGCACCAGGCTACGATGGCTGGGCCACGTGTTGTATATACCAGCACACTGACTCCCGTGACGTGTGTTGTTTGCGCAACCGGGGTGTAGACAGACGAAGAGGGGGGAGGTCAACTGACGACATGGTCAAGTGAAGGCCCTTAGTTCGAAGTTGGCCACGGTTGGAGCCTAGCGATCTCTGGTTGGGGCTCGAAAGACGATGAACACATTTGGCTGGATACACTTGTTGATGTAGCTAGGAGCCAACCTCAGTGGCGCCTGTGTTGTGAGTTTCTTTGTCCGTCCAACCATGATCTCATTCCTGAAGCACTAGGTAACTTATTTTGCAGCACAACATCCAGTTACTAGCTTTCTAGCACGATGTTCATCTGTTACTGGGTGGCTTAGCTTGCGCCTCAGTGTTGCGTCTCTTATTTCTCGTGTATTGCGGTACAATGTTTGATGTATTCCTACCTCTAGCTGACGCGTATAATGATGATGATGATGATGCTAGTCTCGTTAAAACGATGTAAATTGTGGGGCTAACGAAAAGATGATGTCTCATCCGCAGTGTAGTGGAAAGTTAAGAGGGATCTTCGGAGAGAACCAACGAACTCTTTGGTAGTGCAATCATTAAAGGTCAGACGGCTATCCGGACAGGTGGATCAGCGGAACGACGCGGAGAGGTGCTACGTGACCGTGAGAGCAAGTCACGAGTTAGCGTAAATCCGAGGCCTTGAGTTGCCCGCCAATGACGCGGAATACATACCGCAACGAGCTGTGCTACAGTTAAACAAAGTAGCAACGTTGATGCGTGGACGGGTAGGTAAGTACTCAAAAATTAGAGATGTTTCATTCACTGCACACTCCCAGGTCGCACAGCGTCACGTGCCGTCGCGACAAAATATCCACTTGGGTCCGCGAAAAGACGGTTCGAGGTGTAACGAAAGCGCTAAGGCCACGTGAATAAAAATCACCATATGATTACATGTGAAAAGTGATCTGATTCGCAGTAATGCCTGAGGGCTCGCGACATATCACATCAGCGTAATTGACGCTAATGAGCAATTTGCATGGGAAAGGTGACAAAGACCGGATAGTTTGTCAATAATGCTACGTCACAACGGTGATGAACGCATACGCTCGAGTACGGTTAAACGACTGGATATAACCTAACGCAAGCTATGCGATTATCACCTTTAGGCATCAGGCGCTGTGTGCTGAGGTCAGGGACAGGTTAGAGAAAAACGGAGAACAATACGTAAATTGCGAAGGCAACCGTTGCACAAAACTCACTCGAAATTGGCCACTAACTAACAGTGAACCTATTAGGGGTGGCTGCGTATACTGCCTCGAAAACTGGTGTGGCACAGTTCGTGGGGCTGTGTTGCCAACAGTGTCCGTAGCGTTCACAGGATTCTGTACAGGGGCGACGCCAGTCGGAATAGGAGATTTCACACCACGTTCAACATTTGGTTCAGTGGTTGCACCCGTCAAAGTCGTTGGTGTCAGTCTGGGGAATGTCAAAGGAGACGTGGGCAGCTGGACAGTGTGTCGTCGGACCCCGGGAGCCACGGAATTCACCCAGTGTGAAGTCTGTACACCCAAATGTGACAAGATTGCATCCTCGTCGGCCTGGAAGAGAGAATGACAAACACGAAGCAATATCCAAGCAAGTTGCACGCAGGTTAGGTGTGCAGACAAGCAATTGGAGAGTTTGACAAAAAGTACACCAACAGATGACACAAATGGGAAACCGAAAATAGATACCAGGGATCATTTTTTGCCAAGAATGTGACGGACAACTTGACTTTGGTAACAGAACTAATGTTTCACATTCCTTAGCATCCAGATACAAAGAAATGTTGCAGTCCAGGGTCATTGCGCAGCTGCAGGCCAAAGGCTTATTGAGTAGCGTTTGGTGGCAGCAGGATGGTGCGCCTGCCCATTCTGGACAAACGGTACGTGAGCACCTTAACAAAACTTTCGGTAATCGCTGAATCGGTCGTGGAGGACCTATTGATTGGCTTGCAAGATCTCCTGATTTGAACCCCCTGGGTACTTGAAACGCCGAGTGTATAAAACCAGAACAACCTGTCTGGAGGAACTGAAACTGAGCATCGTCAACCAATGTCGCGGTAAAGCGGTGGACACTGTTATAATCTTCTCACTAGACGCAATTTCAAAAATAACAATTTACTGCTCCACAAAACTTATAGCCCAACCGAAGGAAAAAGCAAAACGCCAATGACCTTGACAAAATAAAGTATCAATCGCCGCCAACGAACACTGTACAAATACTGCGGACCTTGCCTGTATCTATAAATCTCTACTGAACTTAGAATTGGAAGATCAGCTACCAACGTTAGTGGCTCCCCATATATTTTGCCGAGGTGTCAGGTGGTTTTTAGTCACGTGCAGAAGCAGAACATTCCGGAGCGTTCGAAATCGATTAATCGCTAAAATAGTGGATTTCCAAGGCAATTCTTACTTTCTCCTCCTGAGATATCGTCCGAGGTATAAGACGAACGCCTGGGATTAACTTGCAGTCTTCGGGATGGTGTTCTCTGCCTGTCGGTCCACCTCTTTGAGAGAAGCGCCCGAGAAATTTGTTCCGATGTTCTTGTTCTGGATTCTTTGCTTGACTGTGTGCGGTCGTCCACTGCTTCCTTCGGCAGGTCGAAGCTTTCCACCAGTAAATCGAACGGGAGGTCAGTAGGCCTTTCTTGTTCTGGTTGGCACAATGTGGGTCGCAACTGGTTTGCATGCCGTGGCCAGATCTGTGCGCCCAGCATCACGTCGTACATGACGTTTCCGCGCTTGCGTTTGACCGTCCCTGGCGCCCATTTCGCATGGCCTTCCCGGTAGTCACGTACTAGCACCTTCTGTTCAAGCGTAAAAGATCGCTTCTTTGGTCCATGCCGCCGGTTAAAATCCTGTTCCATTCTGCGGTTTCTCTCACCAACAGAACACTCAGAGCGCGGTCGGATGGCGTCGAAAGGCATGCAGAGCCTCCGGTTCATCATGACCTGTGCTGGAAAGACTCCGTCTGGCGCTTGTGAATTCGGTGTTGATCGGTAGAGGAAAAGGAACCGGTCAACCATCTCCCCTATACATCACTCCACTTTGATTTCTGGAGAGCTCGCTTGAACGTATCTACAAACCTTTCTGCCTGGCCATTCGACTATGGGTGAAACGGCGGCGAGCGAACATGCTGTACGGCGCAGTGCTTGCAAAACTCCGTAAAGGTTGCTGGAGTAAATTATGAGCCATTGTCAGTGACAATTGTCTCAGGACAGCCGAATCTGCTAAAGGGTTGGCGCAGTTACGATATGGTGGCATTAGTGGTTGTGTTCTCCATAAGAAATACTTCAGGTCACTTGCTGTATGAATCCACTATAATGAGGAAACTTCGGCCGTTGGTCGGTCCCGCAAAGTCGACATGGTCCGCCGCGTTTCAATACTTCAGGCGGCATCCCGTCGGCTCCGGCACATTTGCCTTTTCGCAGCCCAGCAATTGCTGTCTGCTTTTCATCCGGTGTCGGCGTGTCCGTCAGACTCGTCTTCACATCGTGCTGCTTCAGGCAGTTCAATGTAGGCCGGTCGATCTCTGAACGGTTGTTCAAGGGACAATCAAAGTGTTTTCGCCCGGTCTGCATTATGTTTGCAGTCTGTGTGCAGGTAGCGCCTAAACTACCATCGATCAGCGTCGTCAGCGGCTCCAAGCTCGGTCCATACACCGCCTTCAAGGAGTCAAAGAATTCCTTGTGTTGGCGGCGTTCGGCGTAGCATTCTATCTGCTTCGCCTTCTCCGTCCACCATGCATTGTTTATGCGACGGAGATCTCGGGTCAGTCGCCGTCGAAGTAGGCGAAACTTACTACCTTTCCCCAGGTTACTGGGGTCTAAGACTTGTGCAGTAAATGCTGCATTCTTCTCGCACCCGAACGTGCCTATCGTCGCATTGTTCTCATCAAACCAATCAGACCGCTCAGAGTTTGCGCGCCTGATGATCTCCGAGGCAGCAGCTGTTACCTGGTCGCGAATGTGGTGCCACAGGTCGCCAACTGTGGCTATGCCTTTCACATCACGCAGGCGTGTAGCTACCGCCTTCTCCAGTTCAGTACGTTCCGCCACAGTACCGAGGGAGCGAACGTTAAGGTTTCGCCGAGCCACGGCAGGAGTGTAATACATAGATTTACGAAAATATATGTACACTTTGGTCCTCACCAATTTGTGATTTGTGCCACACTCAGCTCCACGCAGTACACGTGTAATGCGCACTTCACGCATATAGCGCTGACGTACGATGACATAGTCGAGCAGGCGAGCGAGACCACTCCGTGGGTGCGCCCAAGTTGCTATATCACTCGCACTCAGTGCAAACCGGGTGTTCGTGCTCGTCAGGCCGTTAGTGGCACAGAGTGAGAGCAGCCTGTCTCTGTTCGCAATCGCTGAACCAATGCCATGCGAACCGATAACACCTGTCTTCACTGATGCCTCCCGCCCAACGCGCGCTTTGAAATCACCCAGCAGGAATAGTCGGTCGCTCCTCGGAACAGACCGTATCACGGAGGATAGCTGAGTATATAATTGATCACGGGTGTCATCAGGATAACACATGATCGGACCGTACGTACATATAAAAGTGGCAAACTTACCTCTTTCGAGTCGTACGCGAACAGTCATCTGGCGTGCGTTGAGGCCCGTTGGTTCACCCAACAGCAGGCCATGGAGGCGATCTTATATTGCAAATCCGACCCCATGCTCACGTGGTGCTGAGGCGGCGTTGCCTACCCAGTAGAATGTGTAGCCAGCACCTGCTTCATGCAATTTACCTTGCTCAGCTATCCGGGTTTCACTGAGCGCCGCAATATCAAGATAGTAGCGCGCCAGCTCCATCGCGACCAGTGCAGTGCGTCGCTTCGGTCGCTCGCCGGATTTCCGGTCCAGTAGAGTCCGCACGTTCCAGCAACCGATGCTGAGTGCGTTGCGCGCAAGCATACGATTGCATTGGTGGGCACTCGCACGCGAGATGGTCGTTGTGCTTCGGAGGTTTGTGTGAGGGACTCCACCCGGAGACGTAGGCTCAATATCCTGACCCACCCTGCAGTGGGGAGCAGATGCAGCTCGCGCATGTGATTGCAGATACAGATGGGGATCTGCTTGATGGCTGTCACTCTCAGCCTTTCAGGAACGGGATTGATTTATATATGTTTTGCAACCGTTGTAGGATACGCACCTGCGACCACGGCCAGACGCAGATGGGTTTTGGCGGGTTTGCACCAATTTGACCAGGGGCTGCATGGCTTGAGGCGGGAAGCAGCAAACCATTGAACACCCGGAGGTGCCCTCCCACCGTCAGAGAAAATGCGTGGCGCTCGTGCTCTACGCCAATCGAGCTGCGAGGATATAACACGTAGACTTGTTGTCTTCCATGCCTAGGTTTTACGGGAAGAGGGTAATCGACCACCTCCTAACCTCCTAAGAGGATGGACTAGGATAATGGCATGGCGCCCACACCTGACAGTAGAACGGCTCTGCTCCTCAGCCAAAGCCTTCGATTAAATGAACACCCGAAAGTTAGCGGGTCTAGCACACGATCAGTTTATCGAGTTAGGCGGATTGGTGTCCTGCATCTTAGCAGGGAGAAGGGCGAATCCGAACTCCCACCCAGCGGTCGCCACCAGGAGGCTCCTAGGACTTGAGCCAATGGCACAACAGTAGCAGCAGCGGGTAGACCATCTGTCAGGATCTAGCCACCACCAGCATCAGCGCACCATAGGCTCTCCTGCCAGTACATATTTGGCGGCAGCCGGTTTCGGATTTGTCTGTCACTGTGGCCAACCACAGGACGCCTGCGCCTAAAGAGGGACCATGGGTGGCTTGCGCTGCACCACCCACTGCTCCATCCACACACCCCATATCCAGTGTAAACCCGAAGGAATAAGACCGGGAGGCATGCGGATGGGAGCCACGTTTCATCAAGGGAGCCGGGCCACACTCCTTCACAGCAACCCAAGCACGCTGTATTTGGGAAATCAAGTGCACACAAGGCGGTGGTTGGACCGTAGTCCGCTCCACACTGAGAGCATGAAACCGCTCCTTGAGCGTAGCACGGCCACAAGGTCCGTGCTCCCCGTCCCCTCCAGCAACGACCAACTGTCTCCTGGAGCCAGATGGACGAGGTAGTGGGTAATAGACAGGTAGGCACCTTGTCAACATGCACATCAAGCGTATCCACACCGGGGACATCAAGCAACAGCCAATCATTCTAAATGCCGATATCGAATAAAGTAAACGCATATGACGACATGAATGCTCACTAAATGTGCATATGGAAGGTATTGGTAAAATGTGAATCCGCGATGAGTACACAATGTCCGGATGTCATTTAAAAAATATCACGCGATAAAATTACGCACGTTTACCACAATTTGCAGGAGCGACGTGTGTTAGTTTAGAGAAGATTGGCAGAACAAAAATAAAATAAAATGTAATGAATTTTACCCACATTAAAAAGACCTGGTTTAAGTGTATGTTGGTTTAGCCCAACTGCGGTGAAGAAGCATCATGAATGCGACATCAGCCTCAGCATGGGGCATATACATATTTGTTTATATATATATATATATA